TAAGCTTCTTAGTGATGTGCTAATTTAACCCGCTGGGCCACCAGGGAGGGCCCGCTATCAAAGAATTTTTTATAAAAAGTAATTGCTGCCATTCAAGTCGGAGAAACTGCGAAGGAGCAGGTTAGTCTATGGAGGCATCAAGGGCCAAATGGGATTTGATCTGGGCTTGACAGATGGTGAAATCTGATTAAATGAAAAGTATAAAAGTCCAGAGTTGTAGACTGTACATTTGTACAACCAATAATGCACTGTTCATTTAGGTTGTTAAATAAAACAATCAAAAAAGAGTTTCATAACACTGAAAATTTTATGAAATTTCCATTTCTATATTGAAATATAGTCATTCTCCATGGCTGCCTTTGTGCTCCAGTGGCAGAGTTAAGTGGTAGTAACAGAGATTAACTGGCCCCAAAAAAATATTTATTAACCAGCCCTTTATTGACAAAGTTTGCTGACTCTTGATCTATGAGGCAATAATGGCAGGCAGGAGTGTTGGCCAACCTGTAAATACCAGGAGATACATAGAGGAGCCACTAAGGGTTTTGAATAGAAGTGGAAACCAATTTATGCAAATCTCTCTGCTGCCTGACACTCTTGCAGGTGTTTGTTAAATCAACAAATGAACAAAACTTTTCATATTCTAAGCCCACTTTTGCTTTATATGTGGTTGCATTAAAAGAATGAATGCATGCCCCTTGACTCCTTCAGCTGGTCCCTCCTCACCTCATAGAGTGTGTTGGAAGCAGCTCTCATACCTCATGAGTTTGGGGGCTACTTACTTGCTATAGGATGTATTTAGGTGAATTCTCCTTGACCCTTTCTTCTTTGTGTGGCATGGCACGGTTCTTCCTTTCCTCCAACAGATCAGATTCTGATATAAAATTTTGGTTTGGTGGGGAATGGGATAAATGGGGATGGGGGTGGAGGGAACTGCACGGGACTATGGTGATGGCACACAGGTGAACTGGTGATGGGAAATCCATGGGGATTACAAATCCATGAGATGGAAGAAGGCACAAAATGCATAAAAATACACTATTTTAATAAAAATTAAGAGTTTGACAAAAAGAATTAGCTGGATTTTCAAGCTGTTTCCAGAAGGTCTGTGAGGGTAAACCCATTAAAGAGGGAAAAAAAAAAGTTAAAAAACAAAACAGAAACACTTCCAACTTCAGAGGGAGATCCATCAGATCCACCATGAATGCATTTGAAGTATCAGATTTCCACTCTTAATACGTTAAGGCAACATGTTATCATGACTCATTACGAGGCAAAATCTAAGGAGAAAGTAAACACACACACATTGGTATTACCTCACAATAAAAAGAAAATAAATTCTAGGAATTTATATGATAAAAAAAACCTATGTAAGAGTGAAATTTTAAATCACACATAACTTGTCTTGGAGTCATCCCAGATAACTGTAGATATTAAGGGCAATGATGAATTCTGGATCAGAATTGTATAAAACTTTGAAAAAGCAAGTGCAAGTTTGGGGAATGCAAATTCTGCAATGATGTACTCTCCAAAATGGAAGCAACTGGAGCTTAACCCTACCTGGCAATATATTCTAAATATCCAGTGAAAAGGCATAGATAACCACAGACAAATTTGGACACAGATATAGATACATATCCACATATGCTTTAGAATACAACCAAGTTCCTATGTCAAAATTGTAGCTGTGCAATGATTACTAGTAAAAAAAGAATTCCCATTCTGTCTTAGAAAGTAGAAAAATGCCTTTCCCATAATATTGTCTAATGGATCTTCCAGTCACAGTCTCCTGTGGAAGCATAATTTTTTTAGTAGATGGCAAGAAGAGTTTTATGATATCTGGGATTCATTTAAATCTTTAGATTGGAAAAATTGAGATCCAATTAAAACCTTAATAAATGAGTCTGTTGAATATAAATATATTAAATTAATTTGTGCAGGATGAAATTGAAAAAGCTATGGGAGCCTGCATTTTAATTCTATTTCTGTCAGGAAACTGTATGTTATAACCCTGAGAATTACTTGGTAATGGCCTATTTACAATGAAGCAAAACTGAATTTAAATAGGACATTTTAGTCCATGACTTGTCATAACTCATGAAGTCTCAGCATATGACATGTTCAAATCTCATTGGTGAAAGATCTGAGAGGAGGGTGAAAAAGAACTGATTGGAGCTCAGAAGAGCCCAGGGGAGTCTGAAGTTGTGATAGTGTCAGCCTGTAAGAATTTCCTATGAAGGGAAGCACAGCCTGGCAGGCTACTACATGGCTGGTCCCATGTCACAGGTGAGTGTTTGTTGGGAGGAAACACTCGTGGGCAGCCAGGACATCAGTTTAGTTGTAGGGGAAGCCTCATGGGACATGCAGTCCTATTGCTTAAATAGGACCTATGTACTGGGGAGTCAGATATAGAGGGTGAGTTTATCCCATTCACTTCGCTAGAGTATGTCTATCTTCCTCTTACTTGCCTTGGGTTTTGTATGCTAGTGTGGATTCTAAGTATGACACTTTTGTGTCCTAATTTTCTGATGATCAAGTTTATTTTATTTAAGATATATTTATTTATGCATACAAGAGCTGGGGTGTAGGCCAGAGGTGGGGTTGGGTGGGTTGAGGGGATTCACCAGACACAGAGTGGGGAGCAGAACAAGCAAATCCACTGAAGTACACTGCTGATGGGAGCAGTGGGCGAGACAGGAGAGGTCTGCTGTGTCATATGGGTCAGCTCCTTGACTAGGGATTGGGGATAGAACCCATGCTGCAGTGGCTGGAGATAGCACTGCTGTGACTTACCCCTTGCACCACCAGGGGTGCTCTTGATCACCAAGTTTAAAACAAACAGACTGAATCTGAAGGATATCAACTGTAGAGATTGAACTCCTGCCATCAGTTGCCATCCAGTCAGGCCCAGTGTCTCTTTCGTAAGACTTCACTGCTACAGGTCTTTGGTGGAAGACCTACTGTTAATAGTATCATGTTATCTCCTGTATCTCCCATTTGATTGTAGCCTGAGAATATGTTAAAGACCCCAAAGTTGTTCATTCCTTAGGCCCTATAGTGTCTTAGAAACATTTTTACACTCCATTTATTGGTAGCTTAGAAAAGATTTATCCTTCCAGTAGTAGCTCAAGAAATATTTGTTGAAATAAATGAATGAAATGCATTTTGATAAGGGGTTAAGTCACAGCAGTGCTATTGCCAGCCACTGAAGCATGGGTTCCATCCCCAATCCCCTGCCAAGGAGCTGACCCATATGGCACAGCAGACCTCTTCTGTCTCACCCATTGCTCCCATTATTGAAGACCATGAGCTGAATCAGCTGTACCTTAAATATATAACCCTGATCAAGGAGATCTTAGTGAAAGTACAGTAGATCTCCAAAGCAAATAGGCTTTGGAAATGAGTGGGGGAGAGAGAGCAGGGTGTGATCCCTCAGGGAGAGTAAAAAAGAGAAGTTCCCCTTGGGAGCAGGTCAGTTATCCAGACTCTTGGTTTCACAATCTTTGTCTGTGGTTCCTTCTGCTTTCTCAGGATTCTGAATGTTCTCATCAAGAAAACACGATTGTGCCTTGTGGTTTATGAGCCAGTATCATGATGTCACAACCACAAGGACCCAGCAGTGATTTTCCCAACTCTGTGTAGGCAAACTAGACAGGGCTTCTAGCAAGTAAAACTACTTTTAGGTAAATATTTGGGACTGGTTTAAAGATTTCTCTGACAGAGCAAGTAGTAGGAATCTGTGTGTGTGTGTGTGTATATATATATATATATAGAATGCTTCCTGCCTTTTATATATGCGATGTTACTTTTCCTATAGAAATGAACTGCTTTGAGTGTACTTTGTCGATCTGCCTGTTATGCCCCCACTCTGTTTCTGGTGAATCCTCTCACCACACCTGCATCTCTGGCCTGTGCTCCAGTTCTGTATGCATAAATAAAAAATAAATCTTTAAAAAAGAGAGAAAGAAATAAACTGCATTGAGACATTTCTTGCTTAGGAATTAGGCCTTCTTTAGGGTTTTCTCTCAAAGAAGGCCTGCTAAGGAGGGGCAGAAAGAACCCAAACTATATATTTTTCCTTGTAGACAGGGCTATAGTTTAACCCTTTGTTTTAATATCAGAGTTCATCTGAAGACTAAAAAATGGCCTTTCTGTATTTCATGCTTAACAGGATAGTTTAGATAAAACCTTGTTACTACTGAAGCTGCAACAAAATTCCTTCAATTCCTAAAGTGTAGCAGGGAAAAGTTCTGTGTATGCACACTCAATTTACATAATGCACTCTGCATTTATATATGCATTATAGAGACATACATTTTGTTTGTCTAGAGACTATGTATACACACATTTTCATAAACTAACAAGCTAAAAGCTGAAAGAGCAATATATTTAATAAACACATATACATATTAGGACACGTGAGTGTATATAACACAAAATAGACTATCAGCAACGTAGTTCATGACAACTTACTGTGCTCCCTTAACTCATGGTAAATTAGTTTTATCATGATAAACCAGGATGTGATTTTTAAACAGCTCCATGGCTCTATCCATAAACGGCTCAGGGAGAATTTCGTCTACTACCTTTGAAGAATCCTTTGATGTGCCAAAGCCTGCAGAGGGGGCATTCCAAAGCCATTTAACTTTTCTAAAAGTGTGAAATGTCTGCAAGGAGTTCTCTCATCTGTCAGAGAAAAACCAATTCTAGAAGAAAGATCGCTTTTTATCCCAGGCGGGATCCAGATCCCTGTCTGCTAGTGAACAGATTTTGTGTACGATGAACGACAGATAAATTTACAGAAAAAAAACAAGAGAAAAGAAAAAGTAACAAGCTCGGAGAGCAGCCGCGGGTTCTCGGGACGACACGTGACCGGGGCGGGGCTTCTCGGGCCGCCAGCCAGTGGACGGGGACGGGGGCGGGGCCGCGCTTCGGGGGCGGGGCCTGAGCCCGCGCAGCTCGCGCCGCGGTCCCCTTATTTGGATCTGCGGGAATGTGGGCTGGAGCGGTGCTGCCGCGGTACCAGCCTCCGGTCTGTCGCCGGGACTGCCCCTGACCCAGGAGCCCCCACTGCTCGGTGGCTGGAGGGCCGGCGGAGCGCCATGGCCTGCATCCTGAAGGTAACGACTCGGAGCTGGGGCTCGGACGCGTGGTTGGCCAGCCCCTTGCAGCTCAGAGGCGCAGAGTCAACCGGGGTCCCACCGCATCCTCATCTCAGTTGTCTTTCCTGGCATTGATTTTCTTTTTGTTCCTTTGGCAAATGCATATGGAGGGAGACTCTGAAACATGCAGCTGGCACAGCTTCTCTTCCCACCATTCCCGCCTGCTCGCGCCTGCAGCAGACTGTTGGCTCCAGGGGAGAGCAGGGCTGTGTGTGGATAATGGGCATGGCAGGAAGAGCAGGGGGTACTCCCTTGGGTCCCGCGATTTTGTTGCTGAGGCCTTTCAGGGGCCACGGAGAGATGAGTGGTTGGCTGGGCATTGGGTCTAGGAGGAGAGGGGCACAACACTTGGAATGGGGCTAAGAGTGAGCACAGGGGGTTCTGCTGAGCATTTGTTCATGTGAAGATAAACTTCTGAGTTTACAGGTAGTCCCTTAGGAATGAGTTTTCTGTGAGATCTGCTAGCTCTATATGCCATTACCTCTACTTCGGAAAAGTTCCCAGAAGGATGTATTTATCAGTACAGAATCTTGGACGCTCCTTGTACTTATACATTTGAACAGACAAAATGTTTTTACTCCCTACCAGAGTTTTTTCATACATCCCATCTTTGCAGACTTTCTCCAAGTCCTGGAGCATAGCCTGGACTGAGCATCTTTCCTCAGCTTGTGGCAACAGTTGAGAGGACTTGATGTGTCTCACTTGAGAACTTTTCATTCCACAGGAAGAGGATTTTAGTTAGTTTTTTTTTAATTTTTTATTTTTATACACTACTGTTTTTATCTATGCTTAATCGGACTCCTGACTGCATGAATCAAACATATTCACAGCATGAAGATTTTCTGGGACTTGACTAGGGAATGCAAAGGACTATTTATTCCAAACGTGGGGGAGCATTGTGTCACCAAGGAAAACCCAGGAAACAATTTTTTTGTTGTTGTGTTACTGTGAATTAGCACTTGTTTCTCTGTATTGAAGTCTTCTGCCCCAGTACTAGTTACCAGAATGATCCTCTAACATGCCCTACTATTGTTAATGCTGCAAATATGAGAATTTGTTTCTATTTTTTCGAGGAAAAGAGGTCAGATATTTCCCGTGACTTTTCTGAACTTCCTCTGTTTGGTTTTGGAATATCGCCAGTGGTAGCAATATCTGGAGAAACTAATACATTAGTCTTGCAATATGGGCCTACTCAACTTGGGGACTCAGCATGAGTACTGAAATATAAATGTAATTCATTCTATTTGGTATTATGTTATCAGCAGAAATGGAACAACAATTTGTATTTATTATTGGCTGTAGTATTTCTTTCTACTTTCTCCCCTACCTCATTATGCACATGATCCAAACAATGTAAATGCACATCCCAAGCTACACATGAATCTGATCCAACTGACCACAGACATTTAAGACATATCTTAGCCCTACTTCTCTTACTTCCACTAAGTTAATCTCAAATGCAGACAGGTAAACTGCTGTGCACTTTTAGCAAAGACTATGAACTCAGAAAGACCTTGGTCAGAATGCTGGCTCTACCAATTGCCACTTGTGTGACCTTGGGCAAGTTACTGAAATAGCCCTGAGTCTCAATTTCCTCCATACAAAGTAGTGATGCTTATTCCATGGGGCTGCTGTGGGAATGAGATAATATGAGGTATGAAAAATACTCTGTGGCACATCCCTTTAATGTGTGCCATTTCTTTCTGACATATAATAACTATGGGTTAATTAATTTTATATAATACTTTTTTCTTGCATCAAACACTCTAAGGTAGGGGTCACTGTTTAAAAGCTCACTTTACACAAGAGGAAGCTTAGGGCCCAGAGTTTAAGGAGTTGCCTCAGGCAACAGGCTTAATGACAGAGTGAGCCTAGATTTAGACCCAGATCAGCTAACATCTTTATTCTTTAAAGCTCTTCTCTGTACTGTCCTAAGTGTTGATTTTCTAAGATGTCTTCATACTATGAGTCTTTACTACTTTTGAGAAACAAAGTACAGTTGGACCATGATGGTCTGGATTGTGGTGGTCTTTCTCCCTTGCTGTCTTTGAAAGACCACAACAAGGAACAGAATAGAAATCTGGATTCAGTGCAAGCTGGGCCTCCTGTCTAAGATTTTAGGCAGTTACTGCAACTTGAAAACTTCAGTTTCTCCAAATTGTAAAATGCAGATAATTATAATTGCCTGGTAGAGTTTTGCAGGGGTAAAATGGTCATTTTTTTTTTTTTTAAATGAAACATCTTCTACTATATGTTAACCCTGAACTTGGTCTTGGCATTCCACTATGTAGAAACTATTGATTCTATTTACAAGTGACTTGTAGGAACTAAAAAAATAAATGAATATTCATGTTACAAAGTGGAGAATAATAAAGGTTTGTGGTAGACTTAGTAGCATGGGGGCGGGGTGGGGGGAAAAAGCAGTAAACACTCTTATCAAGTAATCAAGACAAGCTCCCCACTTAGGATGGACCTGGGTTTTAAAGATAGAATAGAATGGAATTTACTGTGATGGAGCTTGTGTCTTAGATAACTTTTTTTTTTCTTGGATTTTTTTCCAGTTTTTTTGTTATAATAGGTAACTTTTTAAAATTAAACTTTTTTGTATGGTATTTTATTTCTGTCCTCAGGTATAGTCGCCATATTTCTCCAACCACCACAGCACCTGTGAATCATCACCATAGTCCTTTGTGCTCTTACCCCCCATCCTGTTTTCCTGTTTTGACCCCTCACCGTCCCCCTTCCCTGATGTCTACCTCAGATCTATAATTTTTCAGCAAGTTTTGTCCTTTTTTTTTTTTGACCCCTAGAAAGATAACATTTGAGGTAGTGTCAGGTATTCTGTATTGGTGAGAACTTTTGAGATATATTTTAATTTCCATCTTACACTGTGAAAACTGAGATGTTTCCTACACTTTAGGGATCCTAATTGTGAGAATCTCTGGCTAGCTAAGAGCACTCAGACATGCAGCTAATGTCAGTGTTTGGGATAAACAGAACTATCCCTCAAGGTATTGTGCTTGGTGAGGGTCCTATTACGCATGCATAGAACTGACTCTTGTAACTGAATGATGATTATTCCAGGAATCATTTAATTGTGGAATACATACTCACTCCACCTTGCATGGGCTTTGAAGCCAGAAATATATGGGTTTTAATTATGCCTCTACCACTTACTAATTTTATAGTCATCAGTCAAGTTTTTTTTATTTCACTGCTCTAGTTTCTGAAATGGGGATGGTCATGGATTCTGCAGTGGGTTATTCTAGAGATTAAATGAAAATATCTTCATCTGAGTAAGGGTGGGATAGTTATACCACAGTAAAGAATACCCCAGTTTTCATAGGGTCATGTCTTCCTGTGCTATCAGGAAGTCAAGGAGCAGTCTCTGCCTATGACATCTTTTAAAAGTGTTTGATAGACAAGAAATGTATTTAATTTGTATTTGACTACAAGTGAAATTTAAATTTATACTAGCCTTTTGTTTTCTTCTTTTGCAAATACACATCCCTTTAATATTTTCTTCTATTGTTTCTACCTTTATTCAGTAGGCACTTTTTTGAGTACAGTATCTTGTAAACTTCTGATAACTCAAGAAAAATTTGTTGAGTTGTATCAGTTTTCTTTGTGTCTATCACTGAAGTGGACATAAAACATGTATGAATCATTTCTGTCTTGGAGAAGACTAGTTTTGCCAGGTTGACGAGCCTGACGAACATGAGGCAGTGAGACAATAAATGTCTGGCTTAGCTATTCTTATCCTTTCTACCAGTCACCTGTTCTCACATCATATTTATCTTGGTTGATGGGAAGTTGGATGACTGGTGAGATTAAGTTATGAGCTTAGGGTCTTCTCATTTATTCTTCTTACTCTCTTCCCCAGAACTAATCATCATGTTGCATCGATTCTATCAGGAAAATCTTTCAGATATGTCTGTTCACCATTGTGCTTTGTCCAGAGCCTAATTTTTGGTCTGTCTTTTGGAATAGTCTCCGTTCTTCAGACTTCTCACAATCTTGCCCATCTACCACATCACTCTCAGAGTACTGTGATGAAGTGCAGTGCCAGTCAAACCTTTGTATGGAATAGATTTAGATGCTTGTTTTGGCTTCCCATCTTGGGGAAAAGCCCAGCTGTTTAACTTGGCATTCAAATTCCCTTAGACTGGCTTTTATCCACACATCTGGTCTCACCACCTACTACTCCATCACCTATGCTTGAGACACTTATCCAAATGTATCCCAAGACTGTAGATTGCCTTTCATGGCTAGGCACCAATATAGAATAGAGATTGACAACCTAGACTGTGGTATAAGATCAACCACTTGTAGCAGTGAGATCCTTTTAAGTTTAAGTTTCCTCATCTGTGAAATGGGAACAAAAATAGGAAGTAAGAAATAACTTTTCCTTACTCAGAAATATTTCCTGTTTCTTAAGGTTATAAGGCACAAATGAATATATTTCTGTAGAACAGGACCTGACATATACGTCATTGATAATTATTAGGTATTAGTTGTTATTGTCTATGCTATTTTCTCTGCAGGAAATTCCCTCTGCTATCACTTTTCCTTCACCAATAGAAGTACTTCTCATCTTTCAACTTCTGGCTCAAGGTCACTTCTGTGATCAAGCTTTCCCCTGCTACAGCAGGCTCCCTCTGTGTTTCCATGGCTTAGTTCTGTCTTGATAGTGACAGATACTACACTGTGCTCTCAATTAGCTGTTTACCTGCCCTGCTTGTTGATTTGACTGAACTCATAAATGGCAGGGGTCTTCAATAGGTTATCAGCTACTCTTATCCATGATACAATTACAAAATAATCAGAATGGCAAATATTAAATAAATAATTTTAAATAATCACAGTATTTCTAAAGGTATATCTATCTAGTGGTGTGAGCCTATGAGTTGCAGATGTTGCTGGTTGTACGGTTGTGTCTTGGTGACAGAAAAAGCCTT